AGTGTACCTCTGGTGCAAATTACTGACCTCTGTCATCATTTTAAGTGGGGGAACTTGCACAATCGGTGGCTGACTAAATACTTTTTTGCCCCACTGTATTATATACATATATATATATGTCACTTAATGTCATCAGAGGGAGAAGATGGTAACGACAATGTCCCCAGGGAAGGAAACATTCCTGAAATAGTTGCAAAAGCTGCCCATGGTGAGAGTGGTGCACTGCATTTCCAAAAATGGTGTCAAAGACAGAGAGTGAGTTCGTTCTCATGCCTCTCAAAAATGTTCTGGATTTCTGCCAGAGAATGTAACGTTTAGCCAGCTCAAACCTTCGCTCCTCCCTTCCCGGGCGACTTTGCGTGAGTCAGCTGGGCTCATTACGCACGTTCCGGTGTGCCGCAGGTGTAACTCTGGCCACACCCACAAGGAAACTCCTGTCAGGCAGACTCAGCAGGCTGTCAGTCGGCATCAGACCACCGCAGAAAGGAGTAGGAACAGGTAAGAAGCTCATAATTTACCAGGAACACTTGTTGGAGTTTAATGGGAGCGCTTCGGTACAGCTTTTTTTGCTAACACTGATTCCGGGTCAGAAATGCCCTGCTTTCACTTACTTAAGAGGGTTCACGGCTATGTTCCTCAAACTGTATCGCAGAAAAACTAGTCTTTTTTTTTTAAGGATAGGGCTGAGGAACAGATAATCCAGCTGATGCAGGGAAGCACAGAGACTGCTTCAGGTCAAAACTGTGCGCAAAAATAGTTAAGCTAAACTTTTAAAGTTTAGCCTGCGGCAAACGGAGATGCAGGCTTTCATACATTCAGCCAAAGTACATAGTGACAAGTCCGAATGATTGATTTAGCATGTAGATCTTCAAATAATTAATCTTGAGACAGGCATTGTAAACGGAGAGAAGGTACCGTAAAGTATGATAATCCAATTTCCAATCCAATTTTATTTTTAAAGCACTTTAAAATACCCAGCACAGGACCAAAGTGCTGTACAGAAAATAAGTTAAAAACAATAGAATAAAAGAAAACAGCAAAAATGAATCAATAAAACACATAATACATAAAAATTAAAACAGCCCTATATTAAAAAAGAAAACAAGATAAAACAGCACAGACTCAACTAAAAACAACTAAAATAAAAATAAATAAATAAAAACCAACATCTCATGTGGTGTCAAAGGCCAGGGTAAAGAGCTGCTTTTTCAGGAGTGACTTAAAAACAGGTAGGGAAGACTGTTAAGAATAGGCAATTAATATGGTGATTGAAGAACTATGAAGTATGATTAAAGCTACTGTTGTTCCATGAGCATTATGTAAGAGCTGTTCAGAGTTATCAGCATTAGTGTGATAATGTTACCAGAAATCAATAGTCCTCAACTTTTGTGGCCCGCCTTACTGCAGTCTGTGTTTGTGCTTGTGCTTGAGTACTTTTCATGGCGCTGGTATGCAGGTTGTAATAATAGTGTATTAATACTGTGGAGAAACGTGTAAGTAATGCAGATACTTAAAAAATGCATTAACAAATAATTTTCAATACAATATTAAATACTTTAAATTTGATTATAGAATGAAATATGAAGTGTAACATAGTGCAATTGTGTAGCATCGTATTATACAAAGTCAGCGTGGACTCAAAAGTGGTTACTACAGGCTTGTCCTTGCTTTGTATCATGTTAATGAAACAACCTAAAATTAGGCACTGGGCTCATTCTCACTGTTGAGCTACATTACACATTTCAGCGTTGAAAAACTTGACTGACATGCAAAGAGCCTTCACCTCGGTCTTTTCCAACAACTTCAGGATGAACTGGAAAATCATGTGGAAACCTTTTAGGAGTCTGAGCTAGAGGAGCATTTAGTGTCTGTGGCTTTGGAATGACAGATTCAGTTTTCATGTGTACCGTGGGTGTGCTGTGTGCAGTTTGTGTCTACATACTTATGGCCAGAAAGTATAGCGTGAGGAGTTTATACTACCTTCCATGAAATCTCAATGTTGTAAAGTGGCATGAAAATATAAGTTTTACAGTTTCTTATCCACCATAATAGTGACTTTAAGCTACGTCTCTGCAAGATCAAACTCGTGTCAAGCATTGACAATAAAATTCCTTTTTCTTTTTTTAATACTGATGATATCTAACAGTTTTCATTTTCTCAAGAGTACACTCAGACAAAGGGTAAGTCAGACTCTGCCCCCTGATAAGAGGCCATCAGAGATGAGATGTTATCTTTATTTCAGCTGGGTGGAGGGCGCTATGTGAACTTTTACTGACTCCACGTGGAGCTGCTGTGTTACTTAACACTTAATTAGTAATAGTCACAACAACAATAACAACACCTAACCAAACCATGCTGTTCTTAACTAGGTCTCTACCCCTGCATGCCTGTTTGGTTGAAGAATTAAGTTGGGCGACTGATTACAAGCTGTGATTGTTTGTGTGGGTGTGTTTATGTGCGTGTGTGTAATCACAGTAAAACACGGTCCTGGAGACTCCAACAGTAGTGAGAACTATGGCAGTTTTAAGCCAGAAGATACAACAGGCTAGAGAGAGCAGTGGTTGTTAGGCTATTCTTCTGTGAAATAGTCGCCACAAATCTATATTATTTTATCACATTAACAATAATTAAAGGAATAAGTGAGTTGCTATAGCCATTGTGAGCTTATATCTTTGTATTTTTTTTCTAGTTTCTTTTGTTTTTAGCTTGCAGGCCAGCGAGCGTGTTGCTACGCAGCTACTTTTGCAGCCTTGACAGCTAGCTTAAGAAGCAGGGATATTAGTTATACATGAGTTGCTTTAAAGAGTGACGTCAAGCACATACAATTAATTATTATATTTCTGAAAGTTCTGTTTTCTCACATATGTTGTAAAATGTAGAAAATGTCAGCCTCACAGAGATGTGCTAGCAGGCTAAAATGAAGTCAGCTTTACACAGTTATGTGTTAAATAGATTATTGGTGTTGTTGTCCTGTGTTCAGAATGTAAAATGTGCTTTCTAAAGCTGGTTTTTCACGATTGTCTAAGGAAAATTGCAGTCATTCATGTGTAAATGTTTTCTTGGCTGAAGAATGCTGAAACTATTGCCAGCTGTTAGCATTACTGATTTTCTTGCTTAGCTAAAGTATCTTTGTATTAGTCCACTTTCCATGTCTTTATATTTCATTCCATCTTTTTCTGTTCTGATCACCCTCATCTCCTACACAGCTGTGCTTTTTCTTTCACTGTTATCTAACATATTTTTTACTGTTACTCTCAATTTTACACTTTTTTACTCTTGACTCTTCAGTTTTTAGTGTGTGTATATATGTTTTTTTGTTTTTTGTTTTTTCATTTTACTTACACTGTGTAAATGATGACTTGGATTTTCTTGCATGCCAGAAGTTAAGCTTATTAGTTTTGTTGTATTTAGTACTCTAGTATATATTACGTTATTTTTCGTACATGCTTAAAAAGCTGCCAAAGCTTTTAGCTTTGTGTGTGTGTGTGTGTGTGTGTGTGTGT